CTAATTAACCTAGAAGCCCATACAGTAAGAAAAATATATATATATATATATATAACAAAACAAAAGAAAGTATAGAGTTAATCTGTCAACAAAAACGGCAATGACTTAGTTGCCAACCCAATAGTATCCGTTTTAATCGCTATCTTGAATTTATTTTATGTCATGCAATTATTTGATGCCAGAATAATATAATTCGTTCACTGAATGGCGTAACCTTTTATAATAATGATGTTTACATTATTGCTAACTTCCAAAAACACGATTCTTCAGAGTATTTGTTATTTTAAAGGACTAAACTCCATTGTTTCAAAATGTATATTACAAAAATCTTTCATCTGCTCTAAAATCTCAGATATCAGATTGTGTTTAGATGGACATCATCTCCTCTGTCGCTAAAGTGTAACTTTAACCATAAGAAAATGGGAATAAACTCGACAATTATCATTCAACAATAAAGTAGATGGAAAATCTCTGAACTCTGAACTGGTGGTTCACGTTTTGGACTGGTACAGGTTGCTTGGATCATTTCGTTCAAGTTTTCAACTGATGCAGATATTTAACATTTGAAACAGTTCAGCTGTAGTTTTGCAAGTTTTTGCTCCAAAAATATCATATTGAATCACGAAGAATCAATCGAAATATCGCCTTACTTGAGGGGTAATATGAAACCTCTTAAATAATCCAGGTAAGTATTGGAAGCGTCACTTAAAAAGGAAGCCCAGCTTATTATTATTATAAAATATTCGAATGCATTAATAAAATAACTCTGGGGGGAACTTATTCGTTATGCAGTGCGTGTTAAAAGTACCTATGTTATATTTAGTTGCATGATGTTATTCAAATGCAATTGTATTGCTGACATAGTAAGTTATGTAAGTTAATTGGGAAAAAACTTCTAATCTTATCTGAGAAAGCGTATCCTTTCGCAGCTTTCATCTAAGGATATAGTTGTGGCCTCTCGGTCACCAGATTTTTTAGTGTAGTCAACCATTTCGCCTCTGACTTCGCACACCGACCCATAAGGATCATTCGATAAATGCTTATAGGTAGTTTTAATGGCAATATTGTCCATTTTGGCCCTGCTATTGATTATGGAGCTTTCGACTTTCCCCGCATTATTTTCACATTTTATATAGGAGTACCCTTCTTCGCACAATGGTGAATTCTCAACTTATACTGGATTTCCTTGAGCAACTTCGAATTCCCGTCAAACGACACGGAAAGAAACCCGATGATATCGCTCATAACTGCCAAGATTGTGAAGTAAGTAAAATGCCCAAATTCATGCGCTCAATATTGCTTTTACTTTCTTCTTGCTAATTCGTTTGCCTATTTTAGATCGAAGTTTTCAATATTCTCTTTGTAACAACGCAAGACAAGCGTTCTGAAGTTAGGTGCTTCTCATGTGCACGACGCAATGATCCCAGTCTGCAGTCCTTCAGTGTTCTCTCTGAATATTACATGTCTGAATTAGCTACCATCTACGACAACTTCCAAACTAATACCGTAAGAATATTTACTCATAGTTCCAACCTATTTCGAATCTTGTGTGTAGGCTAATTTGTCCTCTTCTCTATTTTACAGCATCCTATCGTAGCCTATACCGTGGGCAAGTGACCACTACCCCCCTCCATACTACCTTATACTCATCTCCATTGTAGCAACATGCCATTCCTTCTGCAATCGTTTTATGTCTGTATTTACCACTTTAATTTTTTTCGGTTATTTTCTATTATCAAGTAAATGTTCGTATACCTGAAATAGTGGGCTTTAATCTCAAGTAAGAAGGAAGATAGTGCAAATGTGGATGAAATTTACTACGTGTGATAGAGAGAAATAAGAAAGGAAATAGGTTGGAGGAATTTTAGAAGTTAATATTGGCTTGGTGTCAAAAGGTTACACTTGAATTACACTATACTTGGAGTCCATTAGAGCAAAAGGTTGTACCGCCAGCATGAGACGAGTAGGTCGAATACATAGCTCTCCTATGGATAGCTATTTTTGGTGAGGGAACAAGAGGCAAATGAAGGACTCCAATCTTGGATTTAAGATGTGACTAGGATCTATTTGTTCCTTGAAACCGAAAAAAATGTGTGTGAACACGCGGATGAAATGCTCGCATTGATTTGCATTTACTTGACCCTACATTTCGAGGATCGTTTAAGGTTAGTCCGGTGGAAGTGAACGTCCGAATCGACCAGTTTCAAAAGGTTGCGTGGTGGCGCTACTCACTTTTCTGGATTTTTAGGTAATTAAGATTTTTTCTCTAATAGTTATAATTTTACCTTAGCTGAGCTTGAAATGCTGGTCGTGTTAAAAGAATTACTTAGCATTTCCCTTCCGAATGCTCAATTCAGTTTTCTTATTCCGTTCGCTTTCAATGGAGGCAATCTTTCGATTCTTAACCAAACCCAAGAATGACAAATGAGGACAAACGTTGCGTGTCTTAAGCTAGCCATTAGCATTCTTGTAATGCTTCCCTAACCGATGCTGCACAAGCGATTGCATATCAAAGTGTCCTGTCAATATTGGGACATTGGAAACCACATGCAAAACCTCTGAAAGAGCACATCTTCATTGGACCACATATGTCAGTTATAACTATTTCAACGATGTTAACCATATTGGCACTCACGTAGAGCTTAAATACCACGAGTGTCATGCAAAGAACGATCATACCAAATGAAAGCCCACAGTTGAACGCTTATTTACAAATCGAATATCAAAAATACTGTATGCTATTTAACATGNATACGTTGCCATTATTCATACTTACGTGTGCGAATGCTCGGTATAGCCCTCTACTTACGTGGATGTTAGCGTAAATCTCAATCAAGCAACTTATTTCAATCTTTAGTCAACACTTTTACAGAATTGAACGTCAAAAGTACTGAAATAGAATCAGGTAGTGGAACCATATCCATTGTTATTTTATGTCATTTGAGAATTGGACTAGAGTACAAATCAAGGCAAAACAAGAGATATTAAGAAACCAATTGCCTACAGACGGGGAGAACGGTGCTACACCAATGTGTATGCCATGACATGTCGGTCGATTGTTTAAGAGTGTGGATGTTTCGTTTAAGGCGGATGAGGTCAAGAGAATCTCCCACACCCTGGAAGTCTTCTTTTGGCATCAAGAGTTGTTCTAGATAATTTGCTAATTCGTTGGGGGTTCTGAAATGGTAACCCAATTGGCCGTCCGGGAGGAGTTCAGAAAGAGCAGGGTAGGCCAAGGCGAGCACTGGTACTTCAGCACCAAGTAGGTCAACAACCTGAGAAGGCAGAATAGAATCAAGTCTGAGTTTGGAAAAGATCCAGCTAATAATACGCATGTATAAGCAAATAAAAAGGTGAAGAGGTATTGATATTGAATATCAAAGAAAAAATAGCTATCTTGACTCAGGATAGGTTTAGATTAAAGAGGCTGCTTAATACTATGTAAGATAGTACAACCTTCTTGACCTTTGGAAAAAATATATGAAGTGGTGAGACCGAGCACCCTTTCTTAATAAGCTGGTTTAGTAAACTGGATATCGTTGAGAAGAATTTTATCGGTAATTCAAGGGCCAATTCATTGAATCAAGACCTAGGAAGAACATGAAGCAAACATCTTATAGACCGAATTCTAACAGTTTCACTTTAAATCAACCAATAGAATGGTGTTGAATTTACGAATTCACAAGAGGACATCGTCAAAAAGACTATCGAGCTAAGCCCTAAGTAGTGAGGTGTCTAGATAGAATGATTTGTAAATTTAACCAACATGTACAATGAGAAGGTGAATTAGAAAATCCGTCACATTCAGCGATCCCCTAAGTTTGGACAGCAAGATTGCAAAGAAGAAGATAATAGCAATTACATCAGATAATTTACAAGCATTTTCGAATTACCAATATTTGAAAATGGAACCACCTCGGAACAATGATATAACTAAAAATATGTACCTTCATGGGGAGGTCTAAATTAGAAGTGCTGTGATGCAGACTAACACCCAGATCAGCAGATCCAAGAAGCAGAAGATAATCGTTCCATTCCAACCACGGAGTGAGAACTTCCACATGTTCCCACTTTCTCCCCGCAATCATAGCTTGGAAATGCGCCTTCAGAGGTCCTTTACCTACAACACCACAGTTTTACTGGCTAAAAATCAAGGTTGAAATTGGATTGAAGTGGGCGTGATAGAAACAGTAAGTACCAGTAACAATGCAGATGAGTTTGTGATAATGAATATTGGGTGAAGAAGCCACAACAGTATTGTAGATATCTAAAGCTTCAATCATGACAGTAAAATCATCGTCTGGTGTCCAGGAACATCCACTGACTACGAGGGCTGGACGGTCTGATCGTCACTGACAACCACCTTCGGGAGAACCAGACGCTTCTGTAAAGACTGTGCCCTCAGTTGAACCACTTAAATTTCGGAGTTGTGGATAGGTTTGGGATAAACTGAAAGATAGAATACAAAATTAGTTACTTTTGTTCAAGGAAAATGAAATTAACAATTTACCATTAATTATAAATATTTGCTAATAAGTTGAATTTCAAGGTCACTGCCTTGCCTAATTTAAGCCCTTTATATGTCATTATTGAGTTCTTGAAACTGTGATTGTTTTGGGTTCAGCATTTCATCACAGAAAAATAGCGACAAAAAGCTCTAAGGGTTCAAAAAGGGTCAATTTCCACTATCTTCGTGTAGAGAATAGATAATATGGGTGATCATATCTCTGAGAATCATCCATAATCCTGAAAGCAGTAGGAGGCAACTCTGAAGCGTTCAGTAGAACAAAATGTCCAAATTAACGTACATAAATAAGGATTAATACAGAACAATGCAGTAAGATGAACTTAGAATGGAATTACTGAGCTAATCTGACAATGTTTTCTATTCAACAAGTAATCTTAGCGTCATAACAATAAAAAAACAAAGAAAAAGTGAACAATTTTTCAGCATACCGGGTAAATAGGTTGTGTGCATCTTCCAAACTGGTTGGTTTGAATTCATTAGTCGGTCTATCATAAACCACCGTAGCATCAATGCCGGTTTGTCTTAGCAAATCCTCTTTAAGGGCCTCTGACACCGTAAAATGGGATGTCCTAAGGAATGATTTTGGATTGAAGAACCAAGCAGCGAAAGATATTTCCATGAATTTGTATATACTGCGAAAGTGAAGAAGAAACCACTAAGAAAAATAGCAAGAATTACCTAGCAGTAAAAGTTTGTCGATGAGAAGTCGCTGATAAAATAGTGTAACCATAGTTATGCCAATCAATACAAACCGGACATCCTTTAAAAAAGGCGAAAGAATGAATTACAGAGAAGGTAGGTGCAGCTGGAGGTGATTGGACTAGAAGGATATCCTCTTTCATGTGAAGAATCAAATGCACAAGTAGACATATTGACAGAAAGAGCCACTAAACCAAAATAGACAACAAGATCTTGATTAACCTTTAATGGAAGCGAAAGAATCCGAGGCAGCGCATCAAGACATGGAGGCGGTTCATTTAGGTAACAATATTCAATATCTTCATCAGTATCTGGTTGGCTGCCACTATAACCAGAAAACTTTACTCTCCACCCTTCTAGGGCAAATGATTTGGCGTGATTTTTAATACGAGGAGAACGGGTAATATCACCCAAAACCAGTATGTGGACGGATGATCGAGAAGACATAAGAATTTCTGAATTCGAAGAAATAAAAAGTGACCAGTGCAAGGTAAAAATAATATTATAAATAAGCAAGGTTAATGTTCGCAAAATATACATGTACATTAATCCATACATAAAAATAAGCTACTGTAAAATATAATTGCAATTATTCGAGTGTTGTGGTAAAATAGTTACACGAAAACAAAAGCAAGCTAAAAATCCAGGTTCAAATGGACATCCGGCGTTAGACCCATTACAAGGACGCACTTAAATTTCCACTTCCAATTTCAGTTCTGAAAAACGCTATTCCATGAATATTAAACTTTTAATCGAGACATTATTATATATTATTTAACTAACAACAATGTGCGCAAGCGATTCCGTTGCATTTCATAGGAGTTGGCGAGTTCAGTTTTATCATTTATTGAAGTGAAATTTATTCATAACTTCGTATAAATGAAGCAAGCAGGTCTTAAAATTTTTGAAAATTCTGTTTTGTACGAGGTAATCCTATTTACTACCATCAAAGCTCTTTATCAATATTTAAAGTCAATATTCATTATTCATTATATAAATTTTCAAAATTTATCTACCTTTTCAACCTAGTATAAAAATATTTGGAACAAGAATGATATTTTTAAAAGAAGGATAGAAATAATCACTGGAGGATACATTTTGCGTTACAGCTTTAAGAGTAAATGATATTACAGGATATGGATTAAAAGATGTACACTGATTTATTTCTATCAAAAAATATAAAGTATTACAGTTCATTTTGCAATGATCAATAATTTTAAATAACTGGCTTAATTAACTCTTTTCTTAATGGAAGCTAAATAGTTTTTTTATATCAATGCAGACAGCACTTATTTTACATTTTTTAATTTTAAATTGATATCGAGACTTATAATTTGGCTTTTTTTCAAAATGGTAACCCTTTGTCAACTTAAAAATAATGAAATCTTTT